ACAGAGGCACATAATGGGCTCAGGGACTGAACCCCACAATTCATTTAGCTAATCAAGTTACAATCTTGATGAGCTAGTTACAAAATTCAGTATAAGTCGTCACATCATCAATGGGTTCGAGATCGACCACAAGTACAGTTTCTAAATTAAGCAACTGACATATGTGGAGAGCTAGTGTCACAATTGGTATGTTTGTCCTGCACACCGCCCCCCCATCCAGTGGGCAGCGGTGGATAGGTTACAATCACTTAGTTACTACCTACAGTTAGCAAACTGGGGATATTTGGCTAAAATTTCTGGTAGCAGATCATTTTGAATGAAATATTGACACATCGCTGGAACATTGGTTATAGAATTGTCTCTAAATTCACGTATCTTTTCGCACTCCATCACATAGTGACGGAGGGTGTGCGAATAATTTTGTTGACACAGTTTACATTTGGTCAGGTCTACATCAGCAGATAATGAGAATTCCCAGAGATACTTGTAACCGAGTCTAAGCCGAGCAGTAGTAACATCTAGAAGTCTACTGATTGTACTGGATGATCCATAGATGTGTGGCTCCTCTTGCATGCGTGGCGTCTACACATTACCACTCACAGGACTACTCTGGGATACTCTGCTAGCAGAGAGCAATACTTACAAACATCGTTAACAACAAAAGAATATGCAATAATCTCTAATAAGAGGTAATTTAAAAATTTGTGCAAACAATAATAAGAATAATTACAAGGGGTTTAAATCACGATGCTAAGTTGGGTACACTGCGTGCATCATCGTAGACATGCAAATATGGTCACTTTCCCCACCAGACGCCACTGCCTCCCCTCCCACACACACACACACATAAATAAACATGCAATAACATCACAAGAATATATGATACAAGCACACTACAGCATGATACAAGCACACTACAGCATGATACAAGCACACTACAGCATGATACAAGCACACTACAGCATGATACAAGCACACTACAGCATGATACAAGCACACTACAGCATGATACAAGCACACTACAGCATGATACAAGCACACTACAGCATGATACAAGCACACTACAGCATGATACAAGCACACTACAGCATGATACAAGCACACTACAGCATGATACAAGCACACTACAGCATGATACAAGCACACTACAGCATGATACAAGCACACTACAGCATGATACAAGCACACTACAGCATGATACAAGCACACTACAGCATGATACAAGCACACTACAGCATGATACAAGCACACTACAGCATGATACAATCACACTACAGCATGATACAAGCACACTACAGCATGATACAAGCACACTACAGCATGATACAAGCACACTACAGCATGATACAAGCACACTACAGCATGATACAAGCACACTACAGCATGATACAAGCACACTACAGCATGATACAAGCACACTACAGCATGATACAAGCACACTACAGCATGATACAAGCACACTACAGCATGATACAAGCACACTACAGCATGATACAAGCACACTACAGCATGATACAGTTAACACAAACCATGTATACTAGTTAACTAATGGGCATAATGTTACTCTTCCAGTAACTGAGGAAAGGAATATAGGAACATAAATGTTTTATCGTGATAAATGCCAGAATGAAGTATTATTGATTCATACCTGTCACTACACCTGTTACTACACCTGTCCCTACACCTGTCACTACACCTGTTACTAGACCTGTCCCTACACCTGTTACTACACCTGTCCCTATACGTGTCACTACACCTGTTACTACATCTGTCCCTACACCTGCCAGTACACTTGTTACTACACCTGTCACTACACCTGTCCGTACATCTTTCCCTTCACCTATCACTACATCTGTTCCTACATCTGTCCCTACACCTGTCCCTATACGTGTCACTACACCTGTTACTACAACTGTCCCTACACCTGCCACTACACCTGTTACTACACCTGTCCCTACACCTGTCACTACACCTGTCCCTACATCTTTCCCTTCACCTATCACTACATCTGTTCCTACATCTGTCACTACACCTGTCCTTAAACCTGTCACTACACCTGTTACTAAACCCGTCTCTCCACTTGTCACTACACCTGTTACTACACCTGTCACTACACATTTCCCTTCATCTATCACTACATCTGTCCCTAGACCTGTCACTACACCTGTCCTTACACGTATCCCTACACCTGTCACTACACCCGTCCCCTACACCCGTTCCCTACACCCGTCCCTACACCTGTCACTGCCCCTGTCCCTACACCCGTCCCTACACCAGTCCCAACACATGTCCCTACACCTGTCACTGCCCCTTGCGTTCCTTGTACACACAATGTGATCTGGAGACTGAGCTTACAGACTGTTACGGCCCTTGTGGGACGCAACCGGGTTCTTCTCTGATGTTAGTAGAGTTTGGGAATCCGGCCCCAAGTTAGTAGAGGCTTTCAAGGGGTGTGTTCCGTAACGCTAGTTGTTTTAAAATGGGAGGGATACAAATGTTCCAATTTATATATATATTTTCACCACCACCATAAATAAATATATAACAGTTGCACACGGGGGTTATCACTACACGATTATGTACAAGCTTGTCTTCCTCCGAAGACACAGGATGCTCCACGGTGCTCACTCTGGGTAGCTCTGGTTCCTTCTTCTGTGGCCCACAATGAATCCTCTATGATTCTCTTGGCGAAACTACCCTGGCCACAGGCCAGCCAAATCACAGTCCCACTGGGTGCTTCGTCGTGGAGGCCTTCAACCACAATCCAGTCTGTAGCTGGCAGGTACCGATCAGCTCCGCTGTGCAGGCCACTCCACGACCGATACTAGGGTTGCGAGCCCTAGGCAGGAGCCTCGTGTGATCCCGCTGATCACTCTCCTCACTAAGCATCACAGTGGCTAGTCTCTTCCACCAGCCAGACCCGGATAAGGCGATTCCCGACACTGCCACGCCTCAGGCAGGTTATTACACTCTCAACAGAGTTCGTCCGGGGGTGACTCACAGCTTCTTCAGCAGACTCGTGAAGAGACCTTGGCTGCCTTGGGTAGACTCATCCATCATCCAATACAGCAGTGCCAGGTCGACTCTGTAATCAGATACGTCATTAATACTGGGACGCTCTAGGGAACCTCACTAACAGGCTTAGACACAAACGTCCACCTCTTCATTCCATAGATGGCATTGCTGTCTAAGCGCCACCTCACCAGAGGTCAGCAGCTGCTATGTTATGAGCTGATTAAGGTGGGAATCCAGCACCTGTGGCCGGTATATCCCGTCCTCACTAGATGGCGTCGTCTATTTGGAGTGGGTTTCGGGAGCGGACTCACAGATGGCGTTGTCGTCACTGCTCCGTGCTCCGACGCTGGACTCGGGTCCGTAACACAGACCAAACTGCTTACGTCACACTTCATAACCCTTGACCTGTGACCCGGGGTAAAGCATTTTTCACCTCTCCTGGCACCCTTCCTGGCACTATAATGCCCCGAAAAATTCATCATACAGCATTGTATTGCATGGTGAGTTGATGCGTAATTCATGTAAACAATTTCCTCTATTTTCTTGTTTTTTTCTGAATTGCTTGTAATTTGCTTCTAAATTACTTTGGTTGTGTTTGTGTGCTTGTGCCTGCGCGAGTGTGGCCGAGAACGGTGCGCTTGTGCGCAGGCCATCCAGTGACACGTTGAGCACGACAAGTCTGGCACGACAAGTCTGGCACGACACGTCAAGCACGACAAGTCAGGCACGACACGTCAAGCACGACAAGTCAAGCACGACACGTCAAGCACGACAAGTCAAGCATGACTAGTCAAGCACGACAAGTCAAGCACGACAAGTCAAGCACGACAAGTCAGGCACGACAAGTCAGGCACGACAAGTCTGGCACGACAAGTTAGGCACGACAAGTCAAGCACGACAAGTCAAGCACGACAAGTCAAGCACGACAAGTTAGGCACGACAAGTCAAGCACAACAAGTCAGGCACGACAAGTCAGGCACGACAAGTCTGGCACGACAAGTCAAGCACGACAAGTCAGACACGACAAGTCTGGCACGACAAGTTAGGCACGACAAGTCAAGCTCGACAAGTCAGGCACGACAAGTCTGGCACGACAAGTCAAGCACGACAAGTCAAGCACGACAAGTCAAGCACGACAAGTCAAGCACGACAAGTCAAGCACGACAAGTTAGGCACGACAAGTCAGGCACGACAAGTCAGGCACGACAAGTCTGGCACGACAAGTCAGACACGACAAGTCTGGCACGACAAGTCAGACACGACAAGTCTGGCACGACAAGTCAGACACGACAAGTCTGGCACTACAAGTCAAGCACGACAAGTCATGCACGACAAGTCAAGCACGACAAGTCAAGCACGACAAGTCTGGCACGACAAGCCAGGCACGACAAGTCAAGCACGACAAGTCTGGCACGACAAGTCAGGCACGACAAGTCAAGCACGACAAGTCAAGCACGACAAGTCAAGCACGACAAGTCAGACACGACAAGTCTGGCACGACAAGTCTGGCACGACAAGTCACAGGAGTTTAACGAGGTATTTATTTTGGGTGAGATAACCGGAGGAACTTTAATACAGTGGGTCCAGGTGTCCAACTTTGGAAATTGGGAAGAGAACTGAGACTTAGAGGAAACCGAACAGGGAATTCTGAAGTGCATGTTGGAGCGGGAAGTTTGGAGGAGGACTGTGGCCAGGAAGTTTGGGGCGCCGAGTTTAGATGGAATTGTGGCAGAGGCAAATGCCTCAGCGGAAGTTTGAGAGCAGTTAGACGTGAAAAATTGGGTGGAAAGGAACACAGTTAATGGGTTAAAGATTTTAGGAGGTGAATAATGAATGATTATAATGTGGGAAGAGAGAGTGAAAGGAACGTCAGTTTAATATTTAATAAACCTAATTATTCTACAATAACAAATAATACAATTTTGAACCATCATTTACCGGTGTGTCGGAGAATGTGCAACACCAGACAGTAAATGTGTTCAGTTATGGGTATTGTTGGAGGGGACATTGTTGGAGTGGACAGTGTTGGAGTGGACATTGTTGGAGTAGACATTGTTGGGTTGGACATTGTTGGAGTAAACATTGTTGGAGTGGACATTGTTGGAGTGGACAGTGTTGGAGTGGACATTGTTGGAGTAGACATTGTTGGGTTGGACATTGTTGGAGTAAACATTGTTGGAGTGGACATTGTTGGAGTGGACAGTGTTGGAGTGGACATTGTTGGAGGGGACATTGTTGGAGTGGACAGTGTTGGAGGGGACATTGTTGGTGTGGACATTGTTGGAGTGGACAGTGTTGGAGTGGGTATTGTTGGAGGGGACATTGTTGGAGTGGACAGTGTTGGAGTGGACATTGTTGGAGTAGACATTGTTGGGTTGGACATTGTTGGAGTAAACATTGTTGGAGTGGACATTGTTGGAGTGGACAGTGTTGGAGTGGACATTGTTGGAGTAGACATTGTTGGGTTGGACATTGTTGGAGTAAACATTGTTGGAGTGGACATTGTTGGAGTGGACAGTGTTGGAGTGGACATTGTTGGAGGGGACATTGTTGGAGTGGACAGTGTTGGAGGGGACATTGTTGGTGTGGACATTGTTGGAGTGGACAGTGTTGGAGTGGACATTGTTGGAGGGGACATTGTTGGAGTGGACAGTGTTGGAGGGGACATTGTTGGAGTGGACAGTGTTGGAGTGGGCATTGTTGGAGGGGACATTGTTGGAGTGGACAGTGTTGGAGTGGACATTGTTGGAGTAGACATTGTTGGAGTGGGCATTGTTGGAGTGGGCATTGTTGGAGTGGGCATTGTTGGAGTGGACATTGTTAGAGTGGACAGTGTTGGAGTGGGCATTGTTGGAGTCTGTTAACGGGATGAGATCATATCAAATTCGATAACGGGATTTATACGTCATCACATTTGACGTATAAGTCCCATAAGGCCAATAACTGCTATACTCTTAATTACCGCCGCTCGCAAAGCTGACGTGACCCATTTTTTCCAGTTCGTGGGTCCTTGGTGAGATTAGGTTAGGATAGGTGAGGTTAGGATAGGTGAGGTTAGGTTAGGTGAGGTTAGGTGAGGTGAGGTTAGGAGGGGCTAGGTGAGGTTAGTTAGGTGAGGTTAGGTTAGGTGAGGTTAGGGTAGGTGAGGTTAGGATAGGTGAGGTTAGGATAGGTGAGGTTAGGATAGGTGAGGTTAGGATAGGTGAGGTTAGGATCGGTGAGGTTAGGTTAAGTTAGGTAAGGTTAGGTTTGGTGAGGTTAGGTTAAGTTAGTTAAGGTTAGGTTCGAGCAGTTTAGACCATCAGTTTAGTGAGGACGTGAGCACATGAGAGGATGGGCTGACGAGACCACGGGCACCTGGTAAAACTATAAGTAGTGGTAATGTCTCATTATTAGATTGGACACCATGTAGCGCACCTGTGTCCGAGTCCTGGTCTTATGTGTCGTAGAACATCTTGAAATGTATTAAATTTGATTAAAGTGAAACACAGATTTTGTGCTTTCTCAAATCCCAAATGTCGAGTACACAATGTGTCAACTTTGTGAAAGAGAAAACATGCACTCGCTTGAACATTATATTGTAGAATGTCCCATATTGTCTGACTTTCGCCCTCCTGGGCTAAGGTATGCTGAACTCTGTAATTACTATATGAGTACTGGAACACTTGATGATATATTGGACTTGTACCCAAGATTAACCATGTAATGTATCAATTATACAATGTATGTATGTGATGTAACTATATAACCTGAGCTTGTAAAAGCACCTTAATCACCTTCAGTGATTAAGTGCTTAATTGGCCACTAGTTTCTCTATCAGCTATCTCACCCTGTCAGAGTAAAAGAGACAAATGTATGTGAATGCATGTGTGTGTATATATGTATGTATATATGTATATGAATGTATATATGTGTATGTGTATGTATATGTATGTGTATAAAGTATATATGGAAGCTGATCAGAATTACATTTCACCTTTTGTAAATGTACATTAATGACACTATGTAAAAGACACATCTAACACTTTATGTAGGGCATACGTAAATCTGTGTATCTATGTATTTACGTGTGTAGGTTAGCTTAGCATTTTAAAAGCACCGAATCACCTTCTGTGGTTGAGTGTTCAATAAACCCTTGAACTATATGTTTAACACATCTCTAACCCTGTCCATGGAGGACAGAAGAAAATGTATATATGCTGGTTAGCATTGTAAATGTCTGGCCACGTCTGTGGTAGAACAAAAAAAATAAGTTTACCTGCGGCCTAGCTAATCCACTGGGGATTAGTATTGTATCAAAATACTCTGAACGATTCACTGTTGTATATTAGATCACGTTTAGATGGAGGACGAGAGACAGGGTGGGAGGGGCGGGGAGGTGTTGAGCGTGCTCAGGCCTGGTGAAGCAGGAAACATCACGGACCTCACATACCATGAATAGCACTAGCAGTGAGTACTGTACGCTTGTCCTTGTAACATTACATCATTAATTCAGTTGATCTCAACTAGGGAACCATGGGACAATCCACCTGAAGTACTGAATAAACTAATGTTTAGCCTCTCAACCCCATGTATGTTAGTTGTACCTAGTGACGTACTGATGGCCTTATCGCCCTTCTTAATCCACTGACATTGTGTTCTCTAATTGTCAGGTGATCCTTCCCGAGTAAGTTGACGGCCGTACTTCAGGGATATGGAGCTCCACTGATCCCCTCGGGTTAGTAAACAATAAATGATTTTAGGATTATTTGAGTAAAGTGAACGATTTACCATTTATTTCTGTCTACTCCTGTCCTTGAAGTATGTTAACCTCTAGTCCCTCCCTGGGCTCACTCCCGGCTCCCTGAGTCCCGATACTTGGTCTACTGCTCACTAAAGCTGAAGGTGGTGGTGGTGGTGGTGGCATTTATATATGTATTTGTGAGAGAGTAGCAACACACACACTAGCGTTCTCTCTCTCTGCCTCTGTCTGTCTGTCTGTCTGTCTGTCTGTCTGTCTCTCTCTCTGTCTCTCTCTCTGTCTCTCTCTCTGTCTCTCTCTCTCTGTCTCTCTCTCTCTGTCTCTCTCTCTCTGTCTCTCTCTCTCTCTCTCTCTCTCTCTCTGTCTCTCTCTCTCTCTCTCTCTCTCTCTCTCTCTCTCTCTGTCTCTCTCTCTCTCTCTCTCTCTCTCTCTCTCTCTCTCTCTCTCTCTCTCTCTCTCTCTCTCTCTCTCTCTCTCTCTCTCTCTCTCTCTCTCTCTCTCTCTCTCTCTCTTTCTCTCTCTCTCCCTGCCTGTCAAAAGACTGGTTAACAAAGTGAGTAATGTTTCAGTCTTTTTCAATTTCCTTTTTCAAAATCTTATTCCTTCTCTCTCTCTCTCCCTCCCTTCAAGCTGGCTACTTAGACTCTCAGTCCATCTGTAGTGTTATGCTGGCGACATTCCCCCCCTAGTTAGCACAATGGTGGTGGTCACTATGCTCTTACAGCATGCCAAGTATGCTGCCAAGACTCTGGCATTATCTCCGTGTTCAGGAGCTTCTTCAATACTTCAGTTGCGTCACCGCTACAAAGGTCAGCAGTGGTCTGGTCTGGAGCACTGCTCACACATCTGGGGAAGCCTCCCCGCCCCCCCCTTCAGGGGTCAGCAGTGGTCTGGTCCTGAGCACTGCTCACACATCTGGGGAAGCCTCCCCGCCCCCCCCCTTCAGGGGTCAGCAGTGGTCTGGTCCTGAGCACTGCTCACACATCTGGGGAAGCCGCCCCGCACCCCACACCCTTCAGGGGTCAGCAGTGGTCTGGTCCTGAGCACTGCTCACACATCTGGGGAAGCCTCCCCGCCCCCCCCCCTTCAGGGGTCAGCAGTGGTCTGGTCTGGAGCACTGCTCACACATCTGGGGAAGCCTCCCCGCCCCCCCCCTTCAGGGGTCAGCAGTGGTCTGGTCTGGAGCACTGCTCACACATCTGGGGAAGCCGCCCCGCCCCCCACACCCTTCAGGGGTCAGCAGTGGTCTGGTCTGGAGCACTGCTCACACATCTGGGGAAGCCTCCCCGCCCCCCCCCCTTCAGGGGTCAGCAGTGGTCTGGTCTGGAGCACTGCTCACACATCTGGGGAAGCCTCCCCGCCCCCCCCCTTCAGGGGTCAGCAGTGGTCTGGTCTGGAGCACTGCTCACACATCTGGGGAAGCCTCCCCCCTCCCTTCAGGGGTCAGCAGCATGCTTCACTCTCACAACGGGGTCAGGAACATCCGTCAGCAGTCACAGACACTCAGCCTACTATCCACCCTTCCTAAATTAGTGCGCGCGTCAGCTTGTTAATGGTCAGCTTGTTGATGGTGAGCTTGTAAATGGTTAGTTGTAAATGGTTAGTTGTAAATAATTAGCTTGTAAATAATTTTGGCTTGAAGAAGCCTGGAAAACCATTTAATTTTCGATAAATTAAAGTCAATATATTGTGTGAGATTCTTCTTTCGTATATTATGACTATAAGACAAACATTCATGGTCTTCGCTACAAGTTTACTCTCCACCAAAAATACCATTGATGACGAAGTAAACCATGACTCAAGTCAGAGTACTGAGTGCTACAAACCAACTCCTCCCGTAAACCGGGTTGAAGAGTTTATATTCTGCTCGTTGATTTATTCTCAAATGCATTTCCCGGAATTCCAGAAATAGGAGAGAGTATTTTGGCTCGTAACTATCAGAGGTGATCAGAGGCCTTTCCACACCTGGAGGAGCGCCAGGGGTGCTGTGGTGGAGACTCTTGCCTCCACCACAGCCAACCACACCACAGTTACCACCACACTCAACACAACCACACCACAGTTACCACCACACTCAACACAACCACACCACAGTTACCACCACACTCAACACAACCACACCACAGTTACCACCACACTCAACACAACCACACCACAGTTACCACCACACTCAACACAACCACACCACAGTTACCACCACACTCAACACAACCACACCACAGTTACCACCACACTCAACACAACCACACCACAGTTACCACCACACTCAACACAACCACACCACAGTTACCACCACACTCAACACAACCACACCACAGTTACCACCACACTCAACACAACCACACCACAGTTACCACCACACTCAACACAACCACACCACAGTTACCACCACACTCAACACAACCACTGGGTGGTGAACTGTGGTGGGTGGTGGGTGGTGAACTGTGGTGGGTGGTGGGTGGTGAACTGTGGTGGGTGGTGGGTGGTGAACTGTGGTGGGTGGTGGGTGGTGAACTGTGGTGGGTGGTGGGTGGTGAACTGTGGTGGGTGGTGGGTGGTGAACTGTGGTGGGTGGTGGGTGGTGAACTGTGGTGGGTGGTGGGTGGTGAACTGTGGTGGGTGGTGGGTGGTGAACTGTGGTGGGTGGTGGGTGGTGAACTGTGAGGGGTGGTGGGTGGTGAACTGTGGTGGGTGGTGGGTGGTGAACTGTGGTGGGTGGTGGGTGGTGAACTGTGGTGGGTGGTGGGTGGTGAACTGTGGTGGGTGGTGGGTGGTGAACTGTGGTGGGTGGTGGGTGGTGAACTGTGAGGGGTGGTGGGTGGTGAACTGTGGTGGGTGGTGGGTGGTGAACTGTGGTGGGTGGTGGGTGGTGAACTGTGGTGGGTGGTGGGTGGTGAACTGTGGTGGGTGGTGGGTGGTGAACTGTGGTGGGTGGTGGGTGGTGAACTGTGAGGGGTGGTGGGTGGTGAACTGTGGTGGGTGGTGGGTGGTGAACTGTGGTGGGTGGTGGGTGGTGAACTGTGGTGGGTGGTGGGTGGTGAACTGTGGTGGGTGGTGAACTGTGGTGGGTGGTGGGTGGTGAACTGTGGTGGGTGGTGGGTGGTGAACTGTGAGGGGTGGTGG